ATGCTACAGGGACACTGCTACATCGATGTTCATAGCAGCACAATTCACAATAGCTAGACTGTGGAACCAACCTAGATGCCCTTCTATGGATGAATGGATAAAAAAAATGTGGCATTTATACACAATGGAGTATTACTCTGCATTAAAAAATGACAAAATCATAGAATTTACAGGGAAATGGATGGCATTAGAGCAGATTATGCTAAGTGAAGCTAGCCAATCCGTAAAAAACAAATGCCAAATGTCTTCTTTGATATAAGGAGAGTAACTAAGAACAGAGTAGGGTCGAAGAGCATGAGAAGAAGATTAACACTAAACAGGGATGAGAGGTGGGAGGGAAAGGGAGAGAGAAGGGAAAATGCATGGAAATGGAAGGAGACCCTCAGAGTTATACAAAAGTACATACAAGAGGAAGTGAGGGGAAGGGGAAAAATAATATAAGGGGGACAAACGAATGTCAGTAGAGGGAGCAGAGAGAGAAGAGGGGAGGGGAGGGGAGGGGAGGGGAGGGGGGATAGTAGAGGATAGGAAAGGCAGCAGAATACAACAGACACTAGTATGGCAATATGTAAATCAATGGATGTGTAACTGATGTGATTCTGCAATCTGTATATGGGGTAAAAATGGGAGCTCATAACCCACTTGAATCAAATTGTGAAATATGATATATCAAGAACTATGTAATGTTTTGAACAGCCAACAATAAAAAAATAAAAAAATAAAAAAAAAAAATAAAAAATAAAAACTTAGAATTTTTAGGTACACTCCACAGAATGGTAAAAATTTTGAATATAGACTATAAGAATTGTCTATTTACCAATTAAGGACACATATATGTATATATTATATCTTAAATATATTTTGCAAACCAAGTCGCATTACCAACAGCATAATTAAGAAAACTTTAAAAGTCAGACTTATGTCATATTAAATCTTTAATTTAGAAATTTTCATAAGACATAAGATAAATAAATCAATATTGCCACTTGCTAACTACAGGGACATGGCTCATGACATCTAAATGATTACTAAAAATATACAAGATATTACTACTATATAGAGAGCTTAATAACAATTTAGTAACCTTTGTAGCATGCTAAGACATCAAGCATTATATCAGAACTATCAAAGTTCTAGAACTTTTTAGTTTGTTTTAATAAAACATTTGAGTCAGGCAGGGTGGTACATGCCTGTAATCTTAACTTCTCTGGAGGCTGAGGAAAAAGGATTCCAAGTTCAGGGTAAGGCCTAGGCTACTTAGTCTGACCCTATATCAAAATTTAAAGACACTATAAAGGACTAGGGATGTAGCTCAGTGGTACAGTGCCCCTGGGTTCAATCCCCAGTGCCACAAAACAAGCAAACAAAACCTATGTCATTATAAAAGTAGTTCATTTAGCTAGCCTTATAAATCAAAAAGAGCCTTTAGAACAATTAAAGGTATAAATAAATCCTAACACTCTTAAGACTTAATTTTCTGAAGCAATTAAAACCTAAACACAGCAAAAATCATAAAATCTTTGTTCATTAGGCCAGTACATTGTAAACTTTGTGAAGAGCAGATCAATAGTATAATGGATTCTTTATGTTATTCTATAACTTAAACATGATTAAAGAAAACCAGAAAGGCAAAATACATACATATATCTGTATGCATATATATGGATATACATGTTTGTGTGTGTGTATGTACAATTTTTTTACCTTAATAAATATCTAGTCTACTTCCTCAATTTGGTTCTCCCAGAAATTTCCTTCCAAAATATGTTAATTCATAATAAAATAACTGTGAAGAACAGACCGTGTGAGAAAGGTTCTGTTGCTAGAAGCTTAGTCCCTGTCCCTGATGCCAATCTAATAAGGAGAAAAAGGAAAAAAGGTTTATTGCTTTGCTAGCAAAGAAGAAAGACAGGGGTCTCCTGTACCAAAGGCTGTGATTCTGCCCATCAGCAGAAACAGGGGACTTTTAAAGAGGTGATTCAAAGGCTACATTCCATGTGTTCTCTGTCTGGAGTTGTAATTCACTTTTAATTTGGGAGACAGTCATTTCTGAGATCTTCTGATGCCATCCCCAAAGTCTGGATTATTTCATTCCCACAGTGGGTTTGTACTCAGGGACAGGAAGAAAGGTAATCCTGTTTCCCCTGAGATTAGAGAGGGGGATAAATTAGGGAGGAGCAGGGAAAGAGGAAGAGAAATAAACATGTCCATTTAAAAAATCACTTGCAGTGGCAGAGCATATAGTGAATCACTGTTGTAGTTCCAGGAAACATTTAACTGAAGCATACTAGACTGTTGACATCAGGTATAGCACAAGGTCCATTTCACATAATATTGTTATAGGAGCAGTTCCCAGAGAGGGGGACCTCTATTTAGAACAAGTGGAGTCCTTGTGGTACGTAATGAATAAGAATTTTGGCATGCATCAGAGATGCTAACATTTATTTAGGAAAGAAGATACAGGCCAGGAGTGGTGGTGCACGCCTGTAATCCCAGTGGCTTGGGAGGCTGAGGCAGGAGGATCATGAGTTCAAAGCCAGCCTCAGCAAAAGTGAGGTGCTAAGCAATTCAGTGAGACCCTGTCTCTAAATAAAATACAAAATAGGACTGGGGATGTGGCTCAGTGGTAGAGTGCCCCTGGGATCGATTCCAGGTACCAAAAAAAAAAAAAAAAGAAAGAAAGAAAGAAAGAAAGCAGATACATATTCAAGGGAGAATGTGGCCTATCTCAGTTAAGAGACATCATTATTTGGGGGGTAGAGTAAGAAATACACATTCAAGCAACAACTTGTGGAAACCAAATGTTTAACATATATTAAAAACACAATACCATGCATAGTCACTGCAAAGAGAATGAAATAGGCATATATATAACAAAATATGCACAGGGTGGCTGAGTGTGAGGGCCAACAGGTAGCCCAAACTGGGTGATGGAACATTTGTGTAATTTCATTGTAGTGATAGTTCCACAAATTTTCAAATGATATAACATTGCTAGAACTAATATCACACATACATGACATCAATGCAGGTTAAAAAATGGCAACAGTAGAATTATACCTGTATTCTAGGTAGTAGGAATAAACCAATGTCAAGTTCCTGGATTTGATATACTGCAACATCTACAGAAATTGTCACCTTTGGATGAAAGGCACAACATGTTTATTATACTACTTGGGAAATTTCCTGTGAGTTTATAATTATTTTAAAATTAAATATTAAAAATAAACAAGAAAGGACAAGGTGAATTTCAGAAATGACTGGAGGAAACAGGCTTTGCAAATGAATGGTGCTCAATCCAGGCTGGAATAAAAAGGTTTCTATGTGGCTTAAGTCTGTATTTATGTGATTGTTTTCTTTCATAACATGTTTCATTGTATTAAATAATATGTATAGACACATTGTGTGTATGTGTGTGTGTGTATATGCCGCAGTCAATGTTAGAGTCTGTAAACAAGTCTGGATGGCGCCTGGCATTTTGCCAGAGGGAGTGGTTTGTGAAGTAACGCCAGCGAGCCATTAAGTGTGGAGATTCCTTATTGGTTGACTGATGTATCTAGTTTATGCTAATTAAGATAAGCTGTGTGGAATGTATAAATACCGCTCCTGTCCTACAATAAAGGGCTTCCACTCCTGCTGTATCAATCTACACAAATTGTTCGTCCCCCCCCCCCTTATTTTGCCCAGCCAGCCTGGCTGCGGCATGTATATATATATATATATATATATATATATATATATATATATATACACACACATATATATGGAGAGAGAGAGAGAGAGACTAAAAAGTCTAGTCTTCCCTCCTACCGCCCTTACCCAGAGATAAACAATGTGTTGAACAATTTTCACACAAAAAAATCATGTTACACAAAAACATGGTGGCCCTGGAGCTGCCTTTCTCTCCCCCCGCCCAATTTGAACATGTAGGTAGGCAATTGCCCAAGTGTATGTGAATCTTTTGGGTTCCCTAAACAGTTGTATAGGATGCAATAGAAATGTTCAACTGTGACAGGGAACAGGCATTTTGAGAGAGTATAGATACTCAGGGCAGTTTTGTAAAATTGGAATGGGGTCATAGTGAGTGCTTTTAAAGTCTTAAACCTAAGGAAACATAAGCATTTCCTCATTTCACTAACTACTCTGTAAAAACATCCTCGAATTTGCAATGGGTTTGCTTTAGCTTATGTAAAGATTAGATGAAACCAGGAAAGGGCTTTTAAGCACACCAGCAAGAAAATGCCACAACCCAGGACAGATGAAAACCAACCTTGTGCAGGAACCAGGGCCAACAGTGGGCCACCCCATGGGTCCGCGCTCCTGTAGGTCAGCAGGTCAGCGGGGCCTGCGGAGGCCCTGGCCCATGGCAGGGTGCTTAGATGAGTGCTGAGAAAGGGACAAGAAAAAGATTCCCCAATAACGAAGTATACAGGACCAGTGAATAGACACAAATCAGAAAAACGCTCTCGTCTGTTTGGTGGCACTTGCTGGTACAGTTCTGCACAATGTGTATTAAAGAAAGAGAAATGCAAAAGAAAGAAAGGTACAGTGGGTTGTCTGGCCAGGTTTTCTGGGGACACTGTGGGAGAAGGCTGGTGCTGTGAATGCACAGGGCCTTCTGGATGAGCTTCTGTATGGACTCCCGCCATTCCTGCACTCCCACTACACTCTAGAGGATTCTGCAAGAGCAAATCCTGGCAGCAGGGCCTTCCGGTCCTTTCAGGCCTGGGCCTTGGCTCTTAGGGACTTGAGGAGGCTACGCGGTAGAGGTGGGGCGGGTCCCATGGGCGGGGCTGTGCCGGTGAGGTGCGACCTTGTGGGCGGGGCCTCGTGAGTAGGAGCCCCTCTGTAGTTCGTGCATGTGGGCGGGACCACTGTGTGGGCGGAGCTACGTGGAGGCTGCCGCGGGAAGGGGCGGGACTGTGCGACCAGCGGGTCCCTCGGGCGGGAGGGGGGCCGGAGGCGGAGGCTGCAGGATGGCCTGAGCCGGGTGTGGGCGGGGAGATCTGGAGGGCAGGGCTCGGACAGGTTAGGGGCGCTCCACACCTCTTATCGGCCTCGCCGTGGGTCCGCGCTCCTGTAGGTCAGCGGGTCAGCGGGGCCTGCGGCGGCCCTGGCCCATGGCAGGGTCTGCGGCGCCCGCGGCGGCTCTGTCGGGCCAGACGGTGTGGCTGTCGCGCTTCGCCTCGGTGCGCGGCTCCTACGGCGCCTTCTGCAAGGGGCTCACCCGCACTCTGATCACCTTCTTCGACCTGGCCTGGCGGCTGCGCACGAACTTCCCCTACTTCTACGTGGTGGCCTCGGTGATACTCAACGTCCGCCTGCAGGTGCGGATTGAGTGAGCGCCAGCAGCGGTGGTGGCCGGGTCAGAGTCGCCTGCCCACCAGCGCCGAGCCTGGACACCTTGTGAAGGACAGCGGGGCCGCCGGACGCTTTGGGGTGCAGAGTGGCCTGGGTCCCTGCAACTGTAGACACCCGCGTCTGGGGGACCGCTACCCGACCCTGGACCCCGTCAACACCTGCAAGAAAACTCACGCAACGGGTCCTTTGCATTGGGCTCAAGAAAATTACGAGTCCAGCTGACCTGTTGCCTCACACTGGCCAAAACTGGGAAATCGGAAAGAAGGAATTTTACTGCAGGGAATTCATTTGCCAAGTCTGAGCAAAAAGGTAGGAGAAAGGGTGGGATGGGGGTGGGGGTTAAGCTGCTAAGCCACATAGATGTCGGGGAACCCTAGAGGTTTGGGGCAATAGAGAGGACACCCAAACAAAACAGCCCGAAAAGATGCCAAGGCAAGCTGGGGAAAGGCAAGGCGCATCTGCTCCCCTGTTGTGATTCCTCAAGGCCTTTAGGGGCAGCCTGAGCTTCTCAGAGAGTCAGGATATCACCACAGGACAGATAAGAAGCCCCCTCCCATACACAGAGCGGATCCCCTCTCCTTTTACAGAGACTGGGGTGGTGTCACCCGAATGCTGGGGAATGGGTCAGTAAGGTCCCAGGAAGTCCCTGGAGCACAAAAGATGTGCCCACCCTTCTTCACCCATCTTAGGAGATTCATGGTAAGGATGGTTGCCTTATAGCCAAGCCCCAGGTCTGTCCCCTTTTCAGATCTCAGGATGCTGGGCCTCTCTTCATCTCCACACAGCCATTTGCAAATCTGCCTCTTTCCCTATATTTGGGGCCAAAGGACTGGTCTGTACCCTCTGCTGAAATCCCTCTTGCTCCCCTAATCCCATCTGGGGTCATTCTCATTTGCAGACCTGGAGGAGTAGGGAAGAGATGATCCTGCCTCTCCCCTTCCCCCACAGGCTTGCTCTGTGACCAATAGCTCAGACTCCCTGCAGGGCCAGCCACTGCCCTATCAGAGCCACAGAAGCCCATCCTCTAACCCAGGAAATCCACTGTGTGCCCAGGGAATTTGGGAAAATGGAAGGATCTCCCTGAGCAGGCAGCAGCTCTCAGTCTGGGTAGGTGGGGAGGGCAGAAGGAGAAGGGGGGTTGCAGAGAAAGCTACACAGGAAACAAGGCCCTTTGTCTGTGGCCAGGCAAATCTGAGGTCTCCATCTTTTTCTTTTTCAGGCATTGGTCTTTATAGGTGCCTTCTCTGGTTTGTGAAGAGCCTGATCCCTGCCTGGAAGTGCCTCTGTTCCTGCAGCCACCTGGGAGCAACTGAGTGAAATGCCCAGGAGGAGGGGAAGGGCCTTCCTAGTAGAGGCCCAGTATTGGTAGAGGCCTTGAAGGGTGGGTGGCCCAGGGATTGGGCCCTGGCATGGGAAGGAGGGTCATGTTTCCTTGGGAACAGAGATCTCCTAGCAACACTGTGAGGAAGATATATTCTCCCCACTCATGGGGCTCCAGGGAAGGGGCTGGGATTTGCCCTTGTCACACAGGTGGGAGGGTGGAGCTGAGTCTGCTGTTGGACCTGCAATCTCCCACTCCCTCCACAGACTTCCTTAAGATCTGGCAGCCTGTGGAACAGGGAAGGAGTACAGAGCTCTGAGGCACCTAGGAGGAGAGGGATCCAGGGATAGGAAATCTGGGATATGGCTTTCCTTGGAGTGGTATGGAAGGTCCCAGGGAAGACAAAACAGTGAGCTGAGATGGGGCACAAGAGAGATGGGTCTCTGAACCCTCTGGGGTGCCATGTCCTCAGCACAGAGCCTCGCCTTCCCACAGCACCTAAGCTTGACAGCTCCTCAGCAGCTGTGTGGCATAAACCTCTCAGGTTGGTGATGGAGTGGGGAGGAAGGTAGCTCTCTGGATGCTCAGGACACTATATTCCCAGGAGGGTGGGATGAAATAGGATTGGGACTCATGAGAGGACCCCATCTCTCTGTCCCCAAACTCAGGCTCCCATCCCCAGGATCACACAGGAGAATCTCATCCAGATGACCTGGGATTGACTCTGAAGGCCCCAGGCATGCTGCTATTTGGGATCCCAAAATAGCTAGAAGCTGCCCAAGGGGAGTCCTCACCACCCATGCCTATTCCCTCAGCTCCTCTGGCACTGGTAGCTCAAGTCCCATGTACTGAGTTCCTGGGACCAAAACCTACAGAAGCCTGGCCAGTCCCAGGGACAGAGTGGCCCAGCCTCCTACTGCTGCCCTTCTCAGCTGCTCACTGGATCTGGGGTCTCCAATGAAGATCTCAGTTCGCTCCACCCCAAGGATGGAGGCTTTAACACGGCTGCCATGTGTCCCTGTGGTTTCCCAAAGTCTAGGCCTGGTAGCTTCCTTCCTTGTGCCAAGTCCCTCTGGAGCCCTTCATCCTGCTAACCCTTCTCATCTTGTCCACTCAGGACCACTTCTGGAGACCTGTCAGCCTCTGACCTCATCCACAGGTCTCTGGGCCACCTCTATGGGACAAGAGACACAGGGTAGAAGAAGAAAGCAGGAGCCAAGGGGCCTCCTTGGGTCAGCTACCCAGTTTTGGCCCTTTCAAATCCTGGTCCCACCCTCTGGGTGACAGGATCTCCAGCTCCAGCCTCTTCCGCAGTCAGCCAGGAAGGAAGGAGGATGGCCCCTCACTCCTCACTGAGTGTGTGTGCATGTTTGAGTACGCATGTGTGTGTGAGTTTGCCAGCAAGCTTGTGGGGGTGTGATGGAGGGGATGGAGCTGTTGAGTATGAGGAGCTGCTCTGGCTGCCCAGCCCTCTCTGCAAAGGGCTCCACTTGGGGCCTAGGAGCCCTTTTCTATAGGGAGAAAAGTAAGTGGAGCCTCAGGGCCACCCTCAGACCTCCACTCCAGGGAAACCCAACCCTGCCCAGCACCCTGGCTTGGTCTTTTGCCGCCTCTGCCAAAAGGGATTGGCCCCAGGCCCCACCCAGCCTTGTGTTCCTCCACTGTTGGGGCCTTGACCCATGAGTGAGCTTCTGCTTTCCTGCCTCCCCTCTTGCCCGCTTTCTCTCCCTCAAGGGCCCTTGCTGCGTGATGGGGTCTCCATGCACTTTATTTATTTGCAGTCTGTGTTCCAGGTGGCGGAGCTTCTACATATTCAGAGACCCAGCCTGGATGACCTTACATTTCTGTGTGATGATCTCTGCGCTGGCCAGCACTGTCTGGTCAGGGATATGTTCTTGTTTCTGATATTGTCACATGTTGTTGTCCCCCTATGTTAAAAAGAAAGTCCTTGAGTTCAGAACACTACAATACTGACTGGAGTCCTCTTTTTGCTGGGTTTGGTGCATTTGCCAAGGGCAGGTGGGGAGGAAGTTCCTAGGGTCAGGGGCTGGGGAAGCCTCAGAGGGCCAGGTCCAGGCTGTGTCAGGACCTGCTGCTTCATCAGAAGCTGCTCCAGGACCAGACTTGGCAGGACCACCGCCCTCCTCCCCGAGGAGCGAGTGGCAGCAGAGCCTGGCCCAGGAGAGGGTGGCTGGTCCCATTCACAACCTTTGTTCAAAGGACCAGAAATGAGTCTTCCATTATAGAGCTGGGGGTTGAAAGTGCTTAATGCAGCTGAACCACTAGGGTAAAGAGAAGCAGGCAGACCATCTGTAGGTTGCATTGTGTGGCCCAGAGACCCCCTCAGCAGCAGGGGAAGGACCTCACTGCATTTCTGCAAGCAGCTTGCTGGGGACACTTGGAGAAGATCAACCACCCAGGAAGCCTGCACCTGGATGCCTGCTTCCCTGCCCCCACCATAGACCTAATCTCTGTCCGGAGAGCCCCATTCCCAGAAGCTCCCCCAGAGAAGCTAGGAATTGGGGTGGGGGTGGGCAAGGCAGGAGAAGGCTGTGGGGAGTGCAGGAGGCTGGAGGCAGTGCCCACAGGGCCCCAGGAGGGAGGCATCCTGGGTCAGAAGGTTTTGCTCAGGAGAGCACACTGTGGACTTTGGGACCCTGTTTGCACTCTGCCCATCATCAGGAGCTCCTCATGGCTGGGTGCAGTGGCACATGCCTGTAATCCCAGCAACTTGTGTGGCGGAGGCAGGAGGATTGTGAGTTCAAAGCCAGCCTCAGCAAAAGCCTGATAGAGTCTAGCCTGGAGCAGCCTTGTTGCTGTGAGGACGGGGCAAGAGACAGGAACTGATGTCAGGGGAGAGTGCTGTGTGCCATGCACTCTGCTAGGTACTCTGCGTTCCTAGCCTCAGTGTATCCCATACCCACCCAACCCTCCTCCCACCTGAGAGAAATCCAGGGTGGGAGCCTGTTCTGAATAGATCCCTCAGCAGAGGCTTTTTTCCTGACCTCCCTTTCCCTACAGAGGGACAGGGAATCAGGCAGAAAGGGTGGTGGGATAGCAAAGGGGAAGGTGATCCTGCCTTTTTGGAGTGGGTTTCAGGACACAGAGAAGAGAACCTGGGCTTTGGGGGAGCAGGCCTGGGGGTCATCTCAAAACGGAGCTGCCTACTGGGAGCAGCTGGGGCCACTGCCCATGTAGACCACCTGCCTTCTCCCCTTTTCCCATTTCCAGAGACTTGTTGAAATTTAAGCAACTGAGGCAGGAGAGAGGAAGAGAGCAGGAAGCAGACAGTTCCAGAGGCAGAGAGAGCAAGGGCCTGAAGAAAAATGTGCAGGGCCCATTCCACTTCCCCCCACCCAAGGGAAGCTGCTGGGTTTGGGATGAACTGTGCTGCCTGAGCACAGGTGTGCTGGGAGGACATCCTGCTTTGGATCCTGCTCATGGCTGGGTACAGTCCTTACTGAAGTCATAGAGGTGTGCACAATGTGCCAGGGGCCACTTGGAACTAAGCAAAAGAGCTGGGCTCAGGGTGGCGTGGGTGTTTTTTGCAGCTGCAGACTGAGCCTGTCTCCTTCCTCTGTAGCATGGGTGATCCCCCTTATCACCTCACGAGAACCCAGGCTCTGGTCTGAGCCTCTCCCATCTTGGTGCTCCCTGCTTATTTTTCCAAAGCTGCCTAGTAGTCCCTGTGTGGAACGAAGATATCATCGTGCATTTACCAACATTTCTTGATTGTTTCTCTTTCTTGTGTGGGGAGTGTGTGTGTGTGTGTGTGTGTGTGTGTGTAGTTGTGGTTCATGCATTGACATATGTCATTAAGGATAGTCATGATCAATTCCTTTTTATAGATTCCTGGAAGTGGGCCAAAAGACATGCACTGTTTGGGGCTTTTTTCTTTCTTAGTTTGGGTAACAGGGATTGAACTCAGGGGCACTTGACCACTGAGTCACATCTCCAGCCCTACTTTGTATTTTATTTAGAGACAGGGTCTCACTGAGTTGCTTAGCACCTCACTTTTGCTGAGGCCGACTTTGAACTTGTGATCCTCCTGCCTCAGCCTCCTGAGCTGCTGGAATTATAGGCATGTGGCACTGTACCCAGCGGTTTGGGGATTTTGATACCTCCAGCATCGGGGTTCCAAGTTACTCACTTTAGTCAGGAATGAGTTATTTGAGAGAAGGGTGACAATTCTGCATCACAACAGATTTTTTTATTCATTTGTTACTCTCTTTCTTTGCTTCAAGTTGGGTGCATTCTCTCTAAGACCAATATAATGTGGAATTGGACCCATCACTTTCCTGAAACTAGTCCTTACCTATCATCTCCAATTTATGCCTAGGATTACCTGTTCCTAGGATTCACATCAGATTTGTAAATCTCTCAATTTCATATGTTAAAATAGTTTATTTGGACATTTTGCCATGCATTCCTTGGAATACCTGATCAGGATGAGATACTTCCATAAGCCTTTGGCCATCTGTGCTTCTCTTTGCAGCTCTGGGGCGTCACTTGTTTTTTAAAGGAAATGAGATTTGCTTTTCATCATTGTGTGATGGGAAATGACTTTGCATCAGGACTGAGCTTGAACTCAGTCTGTATAAAACCCTCACCCATTCCTCCCCTCCCTCTTTTGCTAGTATTTAAAAAATATGGCCAATCTCAAAAGTGAAAGCAGAAATCTTAAGGATCAGAAGTGGCAGGAATGTAGGCAGCAGGTGGGGCCTGGAGCTGCACAGCCCTTGGAGGCAGAACAGGTCTGAGAAGCTAGGAAAGCTCACTCTGTAGGTAGGAGCCAGAACTAGGTGCTTGGTGTGGCCCTGCCAGGTGAAAAGTGCTGTCTGCCTTGAATGGGAACCAGGATTTCTTGATCTGCCCACCTGGGGTGTCTTGAAAGTAAATCCCCTGCCCAAACAATGGGTTGAAACAGCCACCATTAAGACTCTTAATCCTCAGGTCTGTCCTGTGCTTGGTGCAGGGTCTGGATTTTCCATGAGAAAATACCCATGCTGAGAGTTGAATAAAATACAGATGCACTCAAAATATTCTCCTAGGCCCATTTCTGTGAAGCTGAAGCATATTTAAGGCAAAGGGAAGAGCCTAAAAGCTACTAGAGAGGAGAAACACATTATTATTATAAAACAAAAAAAAAGCATAACAGCCATATTGACACTGAATATCATCCCCAACCCCCAGTGCCAGAAGACAATGTATCAGTGAGGAGTCAGAGGCAACACAGAAGCCGGAGTCAGTAGCCATCCTAAACCAAACTTCAATTCAACCAGGGACAAGGTGCTTGCAAACTTATTTCAAGGGCTGAAAGAGTCCAAAACAGTCCTGGACACCACAACAGAACTGGTCCCCCAAGGACAAAAACACCAGTCCCCAGTCAGGGTGCTAGGAAATCAGGAAGCTTGCCTTGGAGCTGTTGACTTCAAGAACACACCCCTGAGCTATAGCTGAGAGGCAGAGATCAGAAGGCTGCTGCCACCACCACAGTAAACATTTGTGTGTGTGTGTGTGGGGGGTGTGTGCTGGGGGTTGAATCCAGCGTTTTGTGCACATGAGGCAAGCATTCTACCAACTGAGTTATATCCCCAGCCCTACTACCAACTTTTTGACACTCATAAAGTCAGTAACTAGACAAAGGACACTGCAGAAAACAAATACATAGGCTGTATGATCAGACTCACCACCACAAGAGTTGACAAAGCAGGAAGATGGCCACTTATTGGCCCACCAGGAGTCTCACTCAAGTGCACCTAACTGGTGGGATCTAATTCACATCCTGGGCAAGCCAGCACATACAGATTTTTACTTTTCTGACTATGCAGTAGAGCAAGGTACATTAGGAGATTGGGACATGTATTGAATCTCAATTCACCACATGTGTCCCAAGCAATGTCTTCAAAATGTTGAGAGAAAACTTCTGTTGGCTTAGAATTTATGCATGAATTTAGAATCAATACATTCTGACACACAGGAGATGTAGAAATGTACTATTTATCAAATCTTTTTTTTTTAAATGCCCATCTGTTGGCCTCATGTGCAGACAGTTGCACTAGGCCTGAATATCAACATACTTAATGTCAGGGGTATTTATCAAATCTTGCTCAAAGAATTACCAAAGAGTGTGTGTTAGCAAGAAGATGTGGATATCAAGAAACAATAGCAAGTACATAGTTGTTAATGGGCTTAAAAACCTCAATATGTATTGATGATGAAGGAAAGAAGGTAAAGGAGAAAAAAATAACAATATTTTTGGGGAGCTTACTTTGTGTCAGGCACCGCTCTAAGCACATTACATAGACTAATGCAAACTCACAAGGGTCCCAAAACAAATTCATATTATCTCTCTTTATGAAGATGGGGTAACTGGGGCTCAGAGAGGCTAATAGCCTGCCCAAGGTCACAGCTGTGGTGGAGTGAGGATTTGAGACCTTGCAGTTTTCCTTATAGTCCTGTAGCTCCAAGAGCCTGGTGCTGGAATCAACTTTTTGAAAGAGCTCATGGTATCACATGGCACATGAACATGTGAAACAGAGAGAATTTTGTAAAGGGACACAGAGACTCAGAATGAGCTGGCTCACTCTGTTATAGCAACCCACTCCAAGGGAACTAATCCTCTCCTATGAGACCTAACCCACTCCTTGAGATCAGCATTAATCCCTTCATGAGGGTGGTCCTGACCCAGTTACCTCTCCTCAGGCCACACCTATTAAAGGGCCCACTATCTACTAATACCATTTTATGGGGACCAAGCTTTCAACATATGAACCTTTGGGGTACATACAACATCTAAAGCATGGCAGAGCTCTCCCGAACACTGGAGCCACATGATCTTGTTGTGGCAGGCCCTGTATTTGCTTAACATTTCTTTCCTGTCTACAGAAAATTTTCTAACAAAGCCTATGAACTTCATGCTCCCCAATCCTAGAACCATAAAGACATCCATTTAGGGACACCAGTGT